TGACATGAAGTATGTGGGAAGGCTTCCAAGTACAACTTTAGCAAGAGTGATTCTTCCACCAAAACTGAGGGTCTTAGACTTCCAGATCGAGAGTTTTTTACTTCAGTTTATCTAATATAGGATTCCACGATACCATACGATTCATATTAGATCCTACCGGGACACCAAGGTAATTGAACGGTAGAACTGCCGGTTCACAGCCGAGAAGGGATGCCCAGTTAGCAACATCCTGGGTCGGGACACCAATACCAAATACTTTAGATTTAGAGAAGTTGACTTTTAGACTAAAAGAAACGTAAAAGCATCTAAGTATTCTAGCAAGATTAGCAATATTTCGTTGTGACCATTCTCCTAAAAATAAAACATCGTCTGCGTATAGGAGATGAGATACGCAAATACCAGAGTTAGGAATATGGATTCCGTCGAATATACCCCTGGATGTTGCTGACTTCATTGCAACATTAAGCCCCTCCATCGCGATGATAAACAAGAAAGGGGATAGAGGATCCCCTTGCATCACTCCTTTTGACACTGTAAATTCAGTAGTGGGGCTTCCATTAATAAGAATAGAAGCTCTAGCTGATTCTAAACAGCCCCGAATCCACGAACGCCATTTACACCCAAAGTTCATTTGGGTCATTATGGAGTCTAGAAAATTCCAATTAACCGAGTCAAAGGCCTTATTAAAGTCCGCCTTAAATAGAAGAATTTTCCTTCCATGCGACTTAGCCCATGGGCACATTTCATTTACAATAAGTGGTCCTTCGAGAATATTACGACCTTCCACAAAAGCTGATTGAACCTCATCATTCACACTACCGATCACCTTTTTGATACGTAAAGCTAGCACTTTAGTAATAATTTTATACATCGAACCAATCAAGCTGATTGGTCGATAATCAACAAGCCGAAGTGAGTCTTTGATCTTTGCTGCCAACGTAATGAAGGAAGCATTGCACCCTCTTGAGAATTTACCCACCTTTCAAAGTGTTTTACCGCACCGAGCACATCTCCTTTAACAGTTTTCCAATATTTTTTAAAGAATTTTAGCAGCTGCTAAATAAACAACCAATATACACCTTATTTTAAAAAGTCAAATTATTTCTTCTAAAAAAAACATCCTATTTAATAGCTATATTGAAGACCTAAAAAAAATTCAAACTTAAAAAACCTCAGACATCTTGTAAATTGTATATAAAATAAATTATATTAATATCAATTTAACTAATAACAACTTATGTTTTATTATAAAAAAAATAGATTAACATTAATCTAACCATCTAATCCAGTTTAGGTAAATTTTCTAACTTTGTTTAGTATTTCAGGATTTAAAATGTAACTTTGGTTGTTTCAGTCCAACCACCGTCATCATCACTGACGGCTAGCAGCACCACCGCCAGAAAAGTGTAAAACATCGAGAGAGAGAGAGAGAGAGAGAGAGATCAATGAGAGAGATAGGGAACGAGTTATGGTCTGGAGTGTTGGTCGTCTTGGTCATCATCACCGACGGCGAGCATCACCGCTGCCTGAGATAAAAATCGATGGTGGCTATCCTCCGATGACCGCCTGAAGAAACAGATAGGGAAAGGTTCATGGTGTTGGCGATGCTCTAGTTGCATGGACTCTTCGTCGGAGGGTCTGATGTCGACGATGCTCTGGTGGCATCGAGTCTTCGGCGGCTGTTTTGCTCCGGCAGATGGGGCGACGACTGTTGCTCTTTCACAGCAAATAGATTGCAAATGACACTATTTTGTGGATTTAGGGTTTTTAGTGTTTTAACTGGATAAATGAGTTGGACATTGTAAGTGGGTGGGCTAAGCTTTTAAGTGGTTTGAACATATCCGTTTTTTAGAATAAATGAATTGTTCCTTTTTTGTTTTTTAAAATAAATTTGCTTTTAAATAAGCGGACATTGGACATTTCAATCGATGGCTGCCGTTGCTTTAGATTTTTTAAAGTTAATTAGCTTTTTAAAAAATAAATATTTATTATTAATTAGTTATTTTATATTATTTTAGTTTTTTTAACAATTTTTTTTGTTATGTTCATAGTTTTATCGAAAAGATGGCGACTTTTTTTTGTTATGTTCATGGTTTTACGGAAGGCAATGAGTTTTCTATGGGGATATCACCATTTTTCACCGAACGGGTATAATACATACCATGATATTAATTTTTTTAATATCAAAGGTTCACCCGTTTCCATTAATCTTTATTAATCTTTAATATCAAAGGTTCACCTCGTTCCATTAATCTTTATTTATTAGAGTAATTTTTTTTTGCATATTATACTAAAGGTTCATCCCGTTTCCATTTAGCAACGGTCATCATTGACAAAATCACATTACGTAAGAATCATATATAATGCAAGGGTCATGGTAATGATGAAATAAATTTATGGTTTAAAAGGGCTCCTTTTAACTTTAAATTTATTTTATACAACACAACATTTTTCAATAGGTGATACATATATTCGATAATTTTTATAATATGAACAGTTGTAGCAACACTTTTCAGCATATATAGCCTCTGTTCTTATCAGCTAAAACATTGTTCAAAAGATGAAACATATAATTGGAACATTCTGCAATGTTTTTCATAAAATAGTGCATTTAGTTGAGAAATAATTTTTATGTCAGATTAAAACTACTTTTCTAACAAAAAAAAAATACATTTCCAACAGTTCCTAAGAGAAAAAAAAAACTATTTCAAAATTTCAAAAACAAGTCTGAAATCATATGAATAATTCTTGAATTTCAAGAAAATACTTTGGTTTTTATAAAAGTCTAAGAAAAAGTTAATGAAACATAAAAAAAAATGGGATGTAGATATGATACACAAGCTCAAAATGTGACATCTGATTGAAAACAAGTGATATTAGACACTTCGAAATAAAAATTTCGGACATGAATAAAGATAATTTATTGAAAAATGTTTGATGGAAAAAACATACACATTATATATTTTGTTGAAATGACCATTCCGAACAATAAAAAAATATATTTGGAAAAAAAAAACACAAAAACTTAAGTCTTTCTGGTGATCATGTTTTAAGGTTAGTGTTATCGAAGCTAAATCAATTATCAATTTCTATTTAAATTATTTTTTTTTATTTTTTTTTTTTTTTGCGCCTCTAAAGCATGAACTTCACTTTACCTGCTAATTTAGGTAACTCACCTAGTATGATCGGTTTCTAATGCTAAATAAGAGAAGGTATGAGAATTTTTTTCTTATATTACGCCTAAGTTCCATCGTCTATACAACCTAGGGATCGTCTTCTTCGTGTCTCCTAAAGTTCACCCACCTTACATCTCTACACAACATTTGTAACCCCAAATTCAAGATTTGTACACAACATCACTAATCCTAAAGCATACCACCAACCAACCATCGAACCACAAACACGACGTCAACATTGTCGTTGGTTCTCTCTCTATATTCAACCTCCACCTCCACTTCCTCTTCATCGAAAATCAAACGGAGGTCCACGGTGGTTGTAATTACTATAATCAGACATCTCTTTTCTATTTGTATTCCTCTAAGGAAAACTCTGATTAAATAGAGAAATACAAAGACATCCATGGTGGTTTCAAATGTGTGGTTGCCAGAAGAAAAACATTTTTTGTGACCTCCTTGTCCTTGTGGGAAGGAGAAACACATAGAGATGAGAAAGAACATCTCGATATCTGTAACTTTGTCTAATCCAAAAGCATAATTATCTTCATCTAATCCATCGAACAAAACATGTAGGTTTTAATGGACTATTTTCTTCATTCTCTGTTGGTTTTCATCTTCTAGATGCTTAAAATTCGAGCAATTTCAATCTCTTCTCATTCTCTAGGCTCCCTACAAGATCCATTCCCCCAAACTAGAACCAAATCGCCGGATTTTGAACAAGAGGTTTTCCAAAAAAAAGAAAAAAAAATAGCGCAATTCCAACTAAAATTAGCGGAATTAGGGTTATATACGAGATTTGAGAGCTTGTTTTGTAATTTACCATCGTTTGTTGATGAAGTTAATGAGCATTCATTACCGACGAAACTCAAGATTAGGTAATTTTAAAGGAAAATCCACGTCGACGACATTTCAACGCCATGTGAACCAACTATGATAACTAAGATGCCAACTAATAGGGGAGAACCGTGTAACCCCTTTATATTTCAAATAATAGTGTTTTTAAAATTGAATTTTATAATTTATGCATCTAGAGTACCTAGAAAAGAAATATGAGGAACCAATTAAAATAAAAACTAATAATTTGTTGGGATATAGTGAAATTAATGTTTTTTTAATATCTTTTTTATATAGTTATTAGAAACTAAATAAATTAAAAAATAACATTTTTGTTGTAAGCGGCGAATTAGCGATTAACACTTCTTTTAAGTTTTAACTCAAGTGCGATCTTTCCCCAAAAGGACCACGATCAAAGTCAAAACCCTTTGAATTCATTTGCTAGTGACCGAAGAGTCGAGTATGGAGTCATGGCTTCCATTGCTTGATATATTCAGGAATTCCACATGTCCTGAAACAGAGGCATCGCTATGGCTACAATCTTCCTTCAATCCTTCGTCAAACCCGTCCATCTCCATTTCGATTTCCACCGCCTCTTTCCTCGCTCTCCTAATGCAGTCCACCGAAACCGACGTCGTCTGCTCTCCTTCTTCATCCTCATATTCACTCCCTAGTAAACACAGGTGAGAACCCCAATTTTGTTTCCTAGTTTCCATGTGTATGATCATTTTACATGATTTCATCACTGGATGAGACCCCTCATTGGTGAATTACGACAGAACTTTTAAACTAATTTTGACTGCTTAGACTAAGCGATTAGGATTATGATTTTCTCATAAAGTTTGTGCCTTTATAATGCATATACATTGGATTTTCATCATTCTTGTTCACTTTGTTTAATGTATATATATCATATAAGGTTGAATGGTTCTTTCTTTCACTTTGTACTTTTCCCCCGATTATCAGGTTTATGTGGCTACAGACATTACCCAATGCAGTCCAGGCTCGAATTCTATCATTTCTTACATACGAGCATGCAAAGTTCAATAAACAAGACTTGTCTAAACTTGCACGGGATATACTGTACAATGAAACAGCGGTTGATTTTTGGGTCAATAAAGCTGCACACCAACTGTTTGATATTGTGTCTGACTCAAACTCCAAATGGGTTTCTTCTTTCAATCTCGATTCCGAAGAAGAAAAGTTTGAAGCAAGTTTTGGAGCAGTGCCAGGGTGGCTTAAAGATGCTGCTAATTCCAATGATCCAATTCTTCCATGGCTTCCCATTTCAGTTGACGATTTGAACACAAAAACACCACATATCACATCAGAAGACGATGACTATACAACAATGGAAGTTGACGAGGGCAAAGATGTAAAATTTGAAAGTATTGAATCGACTCATCTTGAAATCGACCCCATAGACCATGAAACAGAAGAAACAGCTTTGTGTTTGAAAACAAGAATATTAAACATGGAATCAAGTTTAAAAGCTGCAGAAATTGCGGATGATATTCAAAAACTTTGTGTTAAAAGAAAGGGAGAATCATTAAAAGTTTTGGATTTGATTCAACCATGGAATGTAAATGATGAAGTGATTCCGATTCTGTTATCCCATCTATTGAATGGAAAAGAAGACGAATTTGAATGGACAAGTAATATCTTATGCTCAATTTTGCTTCCAAAGTTCTTAACACTTGAAAAACCAGCTTCACGTGTTCTTGTAAGTGCCACAATCGACTACTGTAAGGTGCATCATAAGGCTGCTGTGTATGCGCTTCTGTTTCCCTTAATCCTTCACAAAAATGGCATAAATATCCCCATTTGTGATGTAATCACAAAGATTGTTAATGAATGCTTACACCCTGCTCACGTATCCGCCTTCTGTCAAAAACTACTTTCTGAAGACGAATTAGATGGAAAAAGACATATATGCCCTCCTTGTTATCAGCATTTAGTGTGTGAAAAACTGGTATGGACTGAACCGTTGTTTACCCTTTTCCAGAATATCTTGAATCATAATGTTCATTTGAGTCAAGATTCGGTTGACCAAATTGTGTTAAAGATTCAAGAATTTGCTAAAGTTTTCTCAAAGTCTTTGAAATTTGCAAACTTTTTGTTGTGTTTTGTTACAAAGTGTGGTTCTTTGTTAAAGATTCATAAAGTGGTACTTTCTGAAGCTGTTGGTGACACATCGAGTTTTTTGAAAAAATCGATTTTGTCAAAATTGGATAGTATTTGATGTTTATTGAATTGGGTTTTTGAAAATTTGGGGATTAAAACTAGGGTTTGGTAGATATTGTAGCATCTTGAATTGGTGCATTTTAGTTTATATCACATGTAATCTAGAATTCAAGATTCCAATGAGGGTATGAATTGCTAATTTGTTATGGAATGCATTTGAATGACAATTTTTGAATTTTTTTTTTGACATTACAAATAGCGAAGGGTGTTTTTTTTTTACCCATTTTTTTGCATTCAACGATGAAAAGGAATGATATATTATGCTTATAAATTGTTATTGTTTATATATCTTCAATAACATTAATGTTTTTTTAAAAAAAATCAAAACCCCAATTATTCAAAAAGCTAAACCAAAATGTGTTTTTATTATAATTCTATTCTAAAATTTCATGGGATTTAGTTTTTAGTTTCTGTAAGCAATTTTTTTAAATGGGAAATAATAATTTTGACTATTTCAAATACATATAGTATATATTTTAAACAACATGAAATATGTCCATATGAAATTTATTGAAGAGTATATATTTACTTGAATAAAGTTTATATTTATAAAATAATATATTCTTCGTTAGTTATCAATTTAATTTAATTTACTTTTCGTTATACATAACAATAGGTTTGAATGTATTATGGAACATGTTGATAATAACTTTCTATTCTATATTTGCTTTCAAAGAGCTTACAAGAAGTAAAGGCAACATATTATATATTAAAAAAAAAAAAAACAACATTACTACTATGATCAAAAGTTTGCAAAAAGTAAAAAAACACAAACAAGTATGAGATCATCGACTCTTATGCATGAAGATTTCACCATTTCATTGACCATTGACCATCTTCTTCATAGATTCAAATCTCGGCCCTTTTTCTTCAAACTTAGTAGACGAATAAAGCTTCAAATAATCTTGAAAAGTATACCGATTCGGATACAACAACTTAGGAGCTGGTGAAATTACCGAATCGCCATTAGGATTATAAAAAGTGGCAATCGAAAGCCTACTTCCATCTTTATCAGTCATAACTCGATGAACTGTACTTTTATAATATCCATTACTCAACACTTCAACTTGATCACCCGTGTTAACAAAAATAGTATTGTTCTTCGAAGGTGGTATATTTACCCATTTGCCCTCTTTTAAAAACTCAAGACCAGGCACCTGGTCATCTTGTAGCAATAGAATGATGCCACCGGCATCCGTGTGTTCACGAAGACCTCTTACGAGTTCTGGGTGAGGGCATTTTGGGTATTTCGCCACTTTTGTCCCTACCGAAGGACCTTTGGTTCCTGAAAAAGCCATTTTCATGTGGTCTTTTTCTAGACCAAGATTCTCACACATGAGTTCAGAAAGCTTCTCGGCTACTTTTATAAGTTGATCAATGTACTCATCGATTGTTTTTCTGCATGTATTCGTTATATAAATATAAATATAAAATCTTATTTTTTTATATAAATAGAAGTAATGATTTCCCTTTGTTTATAAAAATAACTTACCGAAGTTCTTCAGAAAGGTTAGTGTACTCGTTGATTTTGTTATTCGGGCGATGCCATAAGAAAAAAGTGCTTTCCCAATCGATATCGGTTGTTTTGTTTTTATCTTCAACACTTTTAACAATTTCAGAGTTATAAAAACTCTTCTCCATTTTCTCTTCGTAATGTTGATTCACTAGTTTTTTAACTTTCTCCATCAGTTGCTTATCAACTCCATGGTTTTCAATCTACATATCATAAAATCTAATAATTAATATCGTAACAAAAAGTTATATAAACGATTATACTCAGAGTTTTCTGCAAAAGAATTATCATTCCAACACTTTTGAGCTCAGCATAGGGCCCACACTGTCTTGAATCATGAATCATGTACACATGCAGTAGCCTACTAGGTGGCTAACATGCATAAGTGCCCAGTGTCCACAAGTAACTCAAATTTATATAAAGGGTTGTATTACGATTGTAATGATCAAGATTATATAAACGATTATATTGAGATTATAATCAGATACATATACCTGAAAGAAGCCCCATTTCTCACAAGCATGGTGAAGAAGTGCCATTGTTTCGCTTCTTTCTTCGCCTTCAAGCTTGCTAAAATCGATCATAGGGATCTCCATTTTCTTTTTTGTTCTTTTTTTTCAAGATTGAACTTTCTTGATGATGGATATATGTTTAATATAGTGAGGTATATATAGGAAACCCACAAGGGAACAAAGCTATTTTCACCAATAGTTTAATCAGAAGAAGTTAATTCTGTAAGGAAAGGTGGTTGTAGATGTACCATGGCCTAAATATCAGGGAGAGTAATTAATAAGTATTCATTTCATCTTCTCTACCATTTGGATTTGTAAAGGTTTCACTTTTCTGGTCAAACATTATGTATTATTATGACCCAAATAGGTTTTGTCAAAATGATTGAAACTTCTTATAACAATAAGTATAGGTCATGAGTTTTAGATACCTGATGATTATTACTGAGGGTATGTCTACAAATAGAAAGCAAAATTGACTTATGTTGTGAATAGGTAAGGTAGTGTTTGGTATGGAATAAATTATATCATTCGAATAAAAAAAATGTTTGTTTTTCGTGATGTAATGAATACACCATTTCTAAAGAGAGATGATTATTTTATTTTATTTTATTAATTTTCTTTCATTTAATTATGCATGGCGTGTTATTTATTCATTGCAACACCTAGCTAATGGAATGAAAAAAATGAATTATAAACTACTATTTGTATAGATAACATTTTAATAGCACAGATATTTTTTAAGAATCTCATATTTTTAATTAAATTGTTACTTTTTTCTAAAATTAATTAGAAATTATTTTTCTATTATGATCTTCTTTGAGTTCGTAGTGAACTTTTATTATGTTTAATATCTTACATTTGTAAAAAGTAAATTCTATAATTATTATTAAATAATATATAGAATAGTGTTAATTCAAAGTTAAAATTATATATATTGTATTTACATATAATATAAAAGATTCATGAAAACTCATTTCATTCCTTCCTTCCGATCAACCAAATATGATCATAGAATGTAATAATAAATTCCATTACTTGCTTATTACCGTTGTTAATCTTTCTATAGTGTTATAGTACTATAAATGAATAAACAAGTTGTATATTATAGTCTTATGATATATAAGAGTTGATTAATACCCAACACTTTTTTTATATACAAAATATAAATTGTTGTGTATAGAGAAAAACCGTTGTATACCATATATGATGCATATCCGGATTGAAATCTTGTATTCGTTAGGTCAAATGTGACTTTTTAAGCAACATAAACAAGATCCAGATTCAAAGATCTTCTCAGTTGACTCTAATTATGGATGGAGTATATTTTTTAAAAATTTTGTTTATATTTATTAGTAAATCTGTGGACAATACTTTTCTTGCTTGGATTCTTCCTTTTGCTGAGGTTCCTTGCATGTGACTAGTTTTCCTATTCTTTTCTTGAAATAGTACTATTATTATTATACAACAACTACGCTTTTTGTTTATGGCTCTCCGTTTCTGTGGGAAATTGAAATTGCACTCATAATTGATTGTTTTCTTGAATTTCAATTCATTAGTTTTGTAGAAAACTGGGTGCGGTTTCTACCTCAGTTTATTTGCAAACCATTTGTTGGATAGGGGTTTCCAATGGGCCGCTTTAGATTTTAGATTATTCAAATTATCACTTTCATTCATAGTGTTTGTAGGCCGAATCTAGCTTTAGATTTTCACTTAATCAATAAAAGATATGGGGTGTTTTTGTCATGATCTAGTGCTATATTCTTCACTTGTAAGTCCCTATTTGTTTTTATTATTTAAAGTTGATCATGATTATGATTATTTTGAGTTAAAATAGTCAGATTTTTGGGAGTTGGGTGGGTTGGATGTGTATCTTTTTTGAACGATTATGTGATATTAAATAAGTGGAATCAAATAAATAATGGTTACATCGGACCGTAAGAGATAATGTTTCAATGACTGTTGTAGTAATTAGATAATTAGTGTTTGATTGTTTATCATTATTTGAGGGTTAATGATTTAAAAAGGTAAATCTATTTTGTTTTATGTTTATATTTTTTTTTGAACCGGCAATATATAATAGACTTTTAAGTTAATATCTAATTTCACTTATGTCCACAACATGACTTAACTTTTAACTTCAAAGAGAAAGAGCAACGCGATATCGCTGGGCTATAAACCATTTCGATATCGCTGGGCTATAAACCATTTGGTTTTTGTATTTATATTTGGCCAACAATTTTTTTATACACATTTAACTGTTGAATTTGTTTCACATGTTTAAAAAAGGCAATATTACTTATAACTAGGGGTGAGCATTTGGATTTGGACCCCCGTGCTGGTTCTCGATTCTAGGATTTGAGCAAAACCGGTCCGATTTTTTTACCGGTCCGGTCTGGCCAATTCCGTGTAAAAACCGGTTTGGACGGGCTTATTTTATAAAAAAGATTGTATTTTGTGAAATCCGTTAAACAAACATATCTCATTCGTTTTAAATCGGATTGACATACAGTTTTCTTCAACTCGTAATTTAGAGTTTGTAAATGATTTTAGATAATTTTGTTATTTTTGGTGTTATATTTGATGAGTTAAAATCCTTCAAAAAGGAGATATCTAAGCTGAAATATTTCAGTTTTCAGCAAGAAATTTAAACTTGTGTATTCTGTGAAATTCTTTAAACAATAATATTTCATTCGTTTTAAGTCGGATTGACATGAAGTTTTTTCCAACGTGTAATTTATAATCTGTAGATGATTTTAGACTATAATTTTGTTGTTTTTGGTGTTATATTTGATGAGTTACAATTCTTCAAAGATGAGATATCAAAACTGATATATTTCAGCTTTTCAGCAAGAAATTTAAACTTTTGTTTTCTATGAAATTCTTTAAACAAACATATCTTATTTGTTTTAAGTCGAATTGACATGCGGTTTTTTTCAAAGTGTAATTTAGAGTTTGTAGATGCGTTTACACTATAATTTTGTTGTATTTGGTATTATATTCAATGAATTACAATCCTTCAAACAAATGATATAAAATATAAACAATCAAAGTTTGACGGGTGCAAAGCGTACAAGAAATGGAAACATATTTATTTTTACGAGTTGTACCGTATCAAACCCAAAAAAGTATTCATTTTAAGGAGTTGTAACGTATCAAACCTAGCAACATATTTGTCTTAACGAGTTGTATGAAACCCAAAAACGCGTTTTAACAAGTTGTACCATATGTCTGTAAAGTTGTACCGGTCCAAACGGATCCAAGAACCGAAAAACCCGGACTTGGACCTGGACATGGACCTGGACTCGGTAAGTCTCATCAGGTGCGGTCCACGGTCCACAGTATTCTCCGAAATCGATCCGATTCGGTTCGGTCCGGTCCGGTCCAAATGCTCACATCTACTTATAACAACAGCCAATATATGTAATACTATCATTTTTTAAACATATGAAACAAGTTCAATGGCTAAATACATACAATTTTTTTTTTCTAAATGTAAACACAAAACAAAATATGTTGTCCTTTTAAGTCATTAATCTCCTAGAAAAAAAAAACTAAGTCATTCATTGTTCTAGTTGAAACATGAAACTACATTATTTGTTAATTGATATGATCTATGAAAATTATCATTTTGATTTGATATATTTTGATTTGATATATGATTTAAATAAAGTTATAATTATAATTAAATATTTTGTAATGGTTTTTAATAAAGATGAAAAACCTATTGTGTTGTTTAATATTAATAAATCAACTTATTTATCATAAAATAAAAAACCATGGTATCA